CTAGTAGCGGAGAGAGTGTTCATCCAAGTGTCTAGTAGCGGAGAGAGTGTTCATCCAAGTGTCTAGTAGCGGAGAGAGTGTTCATCCAAGTGTCTAGTAGCGGAGAGAGTGTTCATCCAAGTGTCTAGTAGCGGAGAGAGTGTTCATCCAAGTGTCTAGTAGCGGAGAGAGTGTTCATCCAAGTGTCTAGTAGCGGAGAGAGTGTTCATCCAAGTGTCTAGTAGCGGAGAGAGTGTTCATCCAAGTGTCTAGTAGCGGAGAGAGTGTTCATCCAAGTGTCTAGTAGCGGAGAGAGTGTTCATCCAAGTGTCTAGTAGCGGAGAGAGTGTTCATCCAAGTGTCTAGTAGCGGAGAGAGTGTTCGTCCAAGTGTCTAGTAGCGGAGAGAGTGTTCATCCAAGTGTCTAGTAGCGGAGAGAGTGTTCATCCAAGTGTCTAGTAGCGGAGAGAGTGTTCATCCAAGTGTCTAGTAGCGGAGAGAGTGTTCGTCCAAGTGTCTAGTAGCGGAGAGAGTGTTCATCCAAGTGTCTAGTAGCGGAGAGAGTGTTCATCCAAGTGTCTAGTAGCGGAGAGAGTGTTCATCCAAGTGTCTAGTAACAGACCCTTTAGTTTTATTTACTGTGATCCTGACCAACACCTTTTGTTGAGTCTTCTCAATGCTATATCAGCTGCAGCAGCCCACAGAGCGCTCTGAAAGGCCCAATCTCAGATCGGAGATAAGATGGTCACTGCTGAAGCTTACAACTGTTTTTTACACCAGGTGTTTTTTCTCGCATAAATAAGCGCAACAAAACGCTCCGCACATAAATTCCTATTAATTTCAATGGTCCTTATTCCCACCTAGGCCTTTGGTCACAAGCTGCAAAGTGCCTGTTGCTCAAAACAGTTCCTGAGCTTCTTTGGGGTGTTTTGCACTGCGTTTGACTTCATAGACTTCAATTGAAAAGCCTGAAAAATGTGTGACACAAGCGTATTGCACATTTCGCTATTCACTGCAGACTGCAATGTCTTTGATCTGCCAGCCAAGTTGCGCTAATGTGTAAAAATGTGCAAAAAAACTAGCAAAATATGCTAGGCAAAAACATGCGCATAAAAAAGTGACTGGAGGCTTACAGCAGAAATATAGTACAGATCCACAATTTAGAAAAGGCTATCCTGGACTACTAAGGCTGCCCTGTTATAAAATATGGAATATTCAGTGTTTGTTCTTTCACTTTGCTGTTGCTATTTGTTTTTTTTAGGCCGAAGGAACCCATATACCAAAGAGGATGGGCAGGTCAATGCAGAGAGGTTGTGAACCAGCATCTGTGTTGCAAACAAACCCACACATTAATCAAACCAGAGACAAAGCTATGGTCGCAGAGCAAGGTAACATATGCTTAAAGTAGAGGTGCACCGAAATGGAAATTTTAAAACCGAAACGAAACCGAAATAAAAAAAGTCAGGCCAAAACCGATACCGAAAATGTTTTTTATTTTTATTGTTTCAATTTTTTAAAATTTTTTATTTTTTATAAACTTTTTAATTTTTTTATATTTTTATTCATTTTTTTTATTAAATATTAATCACTTTCTTTTCTCCTCGCTGGGACAGTGGGGAGAAAAGAAACCAGGGATGCACCGATGTATCGGCCGAAACTTGGCTCTTTCGGCATTATGCCAAAAGTGCCATTTTCGGCCAATATGTTTCGGCGCCGATATATCGGGGCATCCCTAGCTTAAAGGGTTGCTCTAGTTAACAACTATAGTTATATAGCGAGTGGTTATTGTCCATAAAACATTTCAACTATGTAAAAATCAAAAACTCCTGTTTATAATAAAGTTCCTTACAATCTTTCTCATTTTGAACAGCCTCTTACGCATGTTGCTTCCCAGAGGATGCAAGGGGGTAGATCAGGACTGTGCAAATTTAGCAAGGGCAAGGAATGTTCCTGTATTTACAGAATTACAATATCTGCACAGATATCAATGGCAGAATTTTTGTCCAAGTTTAGGCTTAGCTGTTTCCAGCTGGGTTCCTTGCAGATTGATGATTTTACACAGTAAGGCGTCCTTCTGTTTTATGGAAAACAGAAGTGCTATGCAAGTAGACTGTGTATTGCTGTGCTCAGATTGTGAGCTTCACTAAAGTGTACCTTTAGTCATTTATACATACACTACAACTTACTGAGGACCTCTGTCAACTGGCTTTTGTTCATCTCGGACAGGTTTTACATTCCCATATACCAGTCTATAGGAATGCAGAACCAGCTTGAAGCAGGTCAGAAGGAGGTCACCAAGCTTGACCTTTACAGTAAAAGTTGAGGTGTGCATAGAATTTCAGCTGACTATATTTATGGATCTACTAATCTTTTTCATATGCAAGTTCATTGGATAAGAATAAAATAAGAAAAGGCTCCAGGGCTGCCTGGTTATAGCAGACTTTTGGAAACTAGTGATTTCATAGTTGCATAGTATTTGAGGTTGAATAAAAACGCAGGTCCATCAAGTACAACTGTTGTATCCTTGTAGTTTCTGTGATTTCTGGTCTTACTACTCTGATTACTGTCCTGATTCCTTGTAATCCTGAAATCTGTCTGTTTGATTTGTTGGATGAGGAGCCATGGCCTTGATGCACTAGAATAGAGCTGCAGCTAACGATTATTTTCAAAATCGATTAGTTAGCCGATTATTAAGTTCGATTAATCGGTTAATCGGATAAACAATAAAATAACGTTTAAAAAATGGCTCCAGTGATGGGACTACTAGTTTGTATTGAGGTTGTAGTCCATCACAGGAGCAAGCTTGGAGCGGTGGAAGTAAAAAAGAAAAAAAGATAGTGTGGTGTGCAATATAGTTAAATGGAAAGTGTAAAATTATACAGCAATGAATGCAGAATGGCAACGGTTATAGAGGACTACAAAACCCAGCAATAGTACATTATACAGCGCAATGCAGAATACCACCAGCTATAGAGGAATACAACAAATCCCACAAAATAGTACATTATAGCTGGTGGTATTCTGCATTGCGCTGTATAATGTACTATTGCTGGGTTTTGTAGTCCTCTATAGCTAGTGGTATTTAGCATTGTACCACTTTATAATGTATTATTGCTGGGATTTGTTGTACTCCTCTATAGCTGGTGTTATTCTGCATTGCACTGTATAATGTATTATTGCTGGGACTTGTAGTCCTCTATACAGCGCAATGCAGAATATCACCAGCTATAGAGGAGTACAACAAATCCCAGCAATACATTATACATACATTGTATAATGTATTGCTGGGATTTGTATTCCCATGTAGAATATACAGCACAATGTACCATCAGCTATAGAGAAATACAAATCCCAGCAATACATTATAGAGCACCATGTGTGGGAAAGTGCAGTCTTCCAGCAACTTGCTTCTGAGATCGGACCTGTCTATCGGCGATTGTCATCCCCCCACACCTGCTCCTCCTTACTACATCTCCCCGCGTCCCTGTGCCGATCGTGGATGTGGATGGGCAGGAAATATGAGGCGTGGAGGAGGTGCGGCGTGTGGAGCGTGGATGCTAGCGGGTCTGGTAGTGGCGAGCGTGAGGAGGAGGTTGCCGCGCACAGCGCGTGGAGCTCTTAACAGGGACAACTGATTGGAAGCCGATTAATCGATTATTATTGAAAAAGTTGACAACTTTTTGAATAATCGATTATAATCGATTATGTCGATTAGTTGTTGCAGCCCTACACTAGAATATTTCTAATGGAAACGTTATTTATAGCCCACACAACTATAGCTACCAAGTGGATGAACCCCTCTTCCCCCTACTATTTTTCAATGAAAACATCATGTAAATCAGTTGCCTATGTGAAAGTATGTATGGGAAACATAACTGCCCCAAGAGTTATCGTGATATTTTGGACCCTTGGTGTAACTCCACACTTCTGTTGGATTCCAACTACGTATCTGATTCACCATTTTATTTTTATCGCTATTTACTAGGGATGCACCGATACCGGTATTTTGGTACCGAGTACCGAAATTTTTTTTATATATCATTTTGTCTTAAAGTATCATTTTAAGACAAAAAAAACCCCAATAGTAATATGTTATAGGCAGTTAAGCGTATGTTACATTTGTTCTAAAATGTAGTTATCCATTACTGAAGAAAATAATGCTCAACAGTAAAAATATTTGTAACATTATATGAGGGTACATTAGGGGAAAACAAAACATCGTTTTCTAAATGTTCCGTGACTGATGAGCGTCTCTTCCCTGACAAATATCCTGTTACGCTGAGCAGGCATCTGATAAGGGTGAAGGGAAGGCTGATTTATGTGGGTTTGTTTGTGCTATCTTCAGCATATTGCTGGGTGGTCTTACATCCTTACCACACTTCACATACTAGTCTCAGACATGGGTTTAACCTGGGGGAGGAATGCTTGCCCTCTTCCTCGCTCCTATGGCAGCTGATGATCTCTTCCGCCCACTCCAGCTCTGGAATGGGCTCTTGCAATCATCATGTACAGTGCAGGACCTGCAGTTGCCTCTGTGTCCTGCGGTGGATGTGATGATGTCGGCATTGGGGTGGCCACATGTGCAGGACAGGAGGAGCGGCGGAATAGGGCAAGTTCTTTTCTGCATCACATGCCCCTAGACATGGCAAAACAAACAGTAATTAGGAATATACCGTCAGCTTTTTTTTTTCTCTAAAAGCTGATCAGCTTTTTATCTCATTGCACAGCTTTTTTTTCCGAAGGTGGATAGTATGTGAAATGGTTAAAGATTGGGTTTGTGTGTTTTTTTGCTTTGTCCAGTTAGGGAGAGTTGCATTTGTTTTAATGGATGCTATTGACAGCCAAGCAACAAGCATTTCCAGGCGCAGAGATCAGCAATGCCAGCCTACAGATTTCTTTTATTACATGTTTCCTATAAACTATCCGACTACAGTTTCTTACTTAAGCAATCTTCGGTTTACTACTTTAATTCACATTGTTAAATTGGAAATGTGTATTTTTTTGGCAGTTTTAATCAGAAAAGAGATGAATTGCAAATAATGGTTTCTGCTTTTAAGGTAAAGCTGTAGACAACATGCAATGGAGCATTGACCCAGGGGCGGACCTTTCTCAGTATAAAATGAATGCCACTGTGAGGGAGGATGAGGTGAGTTCCATTTAAACCGATGTTTCAGGTGTTCTTTCTTCCCTGCTAAATCCATTTAAACTGAAAATTGTCAGGCAGATTACATACTCACCATGAGCTGAGATGTCATGGGGGTTAAAAGAGAGCTATGGCCAAAACTTTTTTGGCGTTCTCTATTGGGTCACAGGAGGACATTTACTAATGTCCTCCTGTGACCCAAAACTCAGCAAATAGTGGGCTATTGCCTGCTATATGCTGACAGCGCAGAGCTGGGCTGCAGCTGGGAAGGATCCTGACAATATTGTCAGGATCCACCCAGCTACCTGATTGACAGCTGGACTGTGCTGAATAATACAGTTTGCAAAATCCAACATGAAACACTCGCCTGGCCCTACCATTACTGCATTCTTTTATATGGCTGCACAACTGTCACATTGGCATTACAGGTTTGTTCAGCCGTGAAAGGCTGGGCTTTGCCCATCTGGAGTCCCTATCAAATTACTATGTGAGCTGTCTTAGGGGACAAAAGTACAGGCTGCCCACAAAAACAATAGCGTTCAGGAGGTGCTTCTTGATGATCAAGACTATTGTACTTCACATCAACTCCTCTGAACTGCAGAAAACAATTTGAGGCTCCATTCTAGTATAACCTTGGCCTACTGTTCTAAAGATGCCTTTATAAAGAGGAGCCTTTTATGTTTTTGACTTATTTGTTTTTTACATCTTAAAGACACAGATTTTCAATTTTATTTCAACACACACATTGATATTTCCAGCTATGGTGCATAGTACAATACAGGAAACCCCTGATGCTTCAAAAGAAGGGGGACATATAAGGCTCAATTCACAAAGCTTTAACGCCAGTCTAATGATTTATAAGGGAATTTACTAAGACTGGAAGAGACAAAATCTGGAGCACCTGTACATGGCAACCAATCAGCTTCCAGCTTTCATTTTCAAAGCTTAACGGAACAAACTGAAAATAGAAGCTGATTGGATACTATGCACAGCTGCTCCCGATTCATTTTGCTCCAGTTTTAGTAAATTCCCCCCAATATTTTCAGCCATCCATTTGTAATATTCAAATCTCACTACTCGGATAAAAATAACTTACATTTATAAAAATAAGGCTACTTTTCCTGGAAGGTTAGCTTGATAAATTGAGCCTATAGTCTATTAATTGCCCCAGGCACTATGCAAAAGGTAGACCAATTCCTTCCATGTATAGATTAAGGACATACCCACTTTAGAGAGAGCAGTATCAGTTGAAAAATGTGTATTAATTGAAAGTCTCTCAGATGGGGCATTGGAGGCTGCTTGGATAAGCAGCAAAACGTCTTCAACAAAATACAGTAGACACTGGTGGAACTACCAGGGTCGCAGCGGCCGCAATTGCGACCGGGCCCTGGCGTTCCGCCTGCTTACAGGGCTGGAGAAGCTGTCACACTAGTCCCGTAGAATGTGCTGCAGGCACCGCCAGGCAGCACACTCTGCTGACTTATTATAATGTATTGCTGGAACTTGTAGTCCTGCATAGCTGGTGGTATTCTGCATTGCTGTATGAGGATTATACAGCAATGCAGAATAGCTCCAACTATGTAGGACTACAAGTCCCAGCAATGCATTATATTTTTAAGTAGGGATACACCACTCCCAATAATGGGTATTTTTACGAGTACCCATACTCGTGAAAATGCTCCGATACTAAACGCAGATACCGGTGTTCTGACGATAACGCCAACCTAGTCGAATTTGCCAACCTCAGCATCTGTGCTTGCGCACAGACCAGTTTTATCGAGGAAACCGGGATTTATTCACAAAGTATTTTGTTTAAATTGTTAATTGTGACCGTTAATAATATTCCATCCATCATTTACTGCCATGGACGGCATAATATTGACGGTCACAATTAACCATTACAAACGAATACTTTGTAAATGCCGGTTTCCTCGTTAATCCCGTCTGTACGTAAGCGCAGATACTGGGTCGGCGTTCTCCACAGAACACCAGCGCTTGCTGGGGACCTTGGCAGCCTTCTGTTAACCATGCGGTGCCATGGCGGTGGGGGGTTGGGGTGGCCCTTCATGGTTTCTTGCACAGGGGCCCTGAAGGTTCTAGTTACACCTCTGACAGTAGAACAAGTCCAGTTTGATGCGACTAACTACAATCCGCTATACCATGACCAGGAAGAACCTTCACAGAGCATTATCCATTTTGATCTTTGTTTAGGATGGGAGCCAGCGTAATGCAGAGGTTGAAGATATGGATTACACATATGTCAATGATAGTGTGCTGTTGAAGATGAAAAACCAAGAGTGTGCAGACAACAACAGTACATGTAAGTGCTTGCCTTCATATCTGGTGCTGGTGGTATAAGCTTCTCATACAATAGGAAGTTAATTTTTCACCTTAAATGCAGCAGCTGAGGAACAAAAAGGTCATGACAGCTTCACAGAAATGTTCGACAAGACAGAGTATGAGGAATATGTGTCCTATACTCAGGAGTCCTGCCCTTCCCGCAGACTGGATGTAGAGGAAGAAGGTGATGTTTTTACACTGCCAAAGAAAAGGCCTCCCAATGATAAAGGTCAGCACGAACGCAAAGACTGTTACAATGGTACTTACTATAAATTAGGTCCACAGTGGCTTAGTGGTCAGCACTCATGCCTTGCAGCACTAGGGTCCTCGGTTTGAGTTAATGGCCCTCTAAAAAGCTAAATCTGTATTCTATTTTGTGTATAGAGTTTTAAAATGCTGTACTGCTATACAATCTTTTTCCGAAAAGCTACAATGGAAAGCAAAGTTAGGATTCTGCCATGGAAAGATAGAGACATGGGGGATCCCATTGAAAAGATCCCTGGTGTGTAGATATTTGCAGCAATTCTAACCGGGAAACAGGAAACAATGAGCCTTGTTTATCAAAGTGTCTGAAATATGAACTGTTCCAATTCTTCACCATTCTATGCAAAAGGGTGAAGGATGAAGAGTACTGAGACGGACAATGTTTTTTTTTTTAATGGTCCAATTGCTGTTAATGCAATCCCTCCCAGGGAGCCCCAGATGGTTTCTGTGGGTGCTTCTTAGACATTGGGTTGTCCCCTGATCTAGCTAAATATGACTAGAACAGGAAATTGTCATTGTCTATGGACACCTTTTAATCAAAAGGGCTTTTTCTGTGAATCATGTGGTAAACTAGTCATGTATGTAGCAGGCAGTGGGCAGATGCAATAGCCAGCCTGCTATTGGCTATTGCAATTTGAAATATCCAATAGTAGGCTGGCTATTGCTCCCAGCATTAAAATAAAAAAGACAAAAAAATGTAAAAAAAAAAGTTAAATGAATAAAAATGCAAAAAAATAAAAATGTATAAAATAAAAATAGAAAACTTATTTTTTTTGTCATTTTAAATAAAACATTTTTTTTATTTTACATGATCTTCTGAACAACGGGAACAGACAGCAAAACAAACGTGACCCTTCCCTATGCTATCCAAAACTAAAAAATTTTTTTTTTGCTCGAGTTACACTTAAAAAAAATGTACCTGCTCCGACTTGCATACAAATTCAACTTAAGTACAAACCAAGTCCCTATCTTGTATGTAACCCGTGGTCTGTGTATGCATTTGATTTTGCACAGTAGAAGAGCATGTAGGCTGGTAAATGCAGTGGCTTTCTTCCATCTGGAATATGCTGATAGATTTTTGTCCTCTTTATCAAGTTTCCATGTGTACTAAGTTGGCCATAGACATGATGTTTGCATCTTCTGATCTGGCTATTTTTATGTGTATTACATAACCATGTCCTTAGTACCTGCGGGCAGCCCTTTTTCATCAGCCATCTTTAAATGCCTTGCCCAGTTACTCTTCCCCTAATGAGCTTGAGCTGGCTATTGCTGCTTACTGTCTCAGTAGACACAATCTTGTATGAATGGTTGAACTAAGCATACATGTTTATGGGGCGGTCAATAACTGGCTTTACCTGAAGAATTGTACCTGACTGCTCTCCGCTGTGGTCAACTCTACCTCATGCTATATAAAAACTCATTTTTATTTTCTAAAACTCTTTAAATAGCAGGTATCTGGCAATGGAAAATTATGTATAAGAGATTTGTAATGTTATTTATTTTAAAAATGTTTATTTGTAGAGAATCAAGCCAAAGGAGCGATTTACCAGAAACAGAAGGCATACGTGGAGCCTTATGTGCAAACCAGTGAAAGGTAACCTTTCCACTAAACAAGGCCAACTTGACTACATCTGGAGTAGGAAGGCATTGGACTTTATGTTGGCTGTAAAATGTGTAACTGATAACTGTGGTGACACAACAAATTCCATCATACATTTGCCTCTGGGAGTCATGCCTGTGGCTGTCAGTCTTGCAATTCCTAATGGAATTTGTAGTTTCACAGCAGCTGGAGGGCTGAAATTTACCTACAATTCAGAAATTAATCTAAGGAGACTCTATGCTTAGGCTAATCTTTTTTCGCCCAATATGATGTTCTGACAAGGATCGGCCATTTACTAGCATACCTTCTTTGTGTAAATTAGTAGGTAAGGTTGAATAAAGACACAGGTCCATCTAGTTCAACCTATGCATGATGTATGTATGTGTATATTTTTATGTATATTTATATATGTGTGTGTGTGTGTGTAATATTTTGCTCTAGTAGTTCCCGTATCCTTGTATATTTAGTGATCTAAGAAACCCATCTCAAAGTTTCTAAAATTCATCAATGCTATCAGCGGATACTACTATTAGGTCCCCTCTTAAGCGCCTCTTTTCCAAGGAGAACAAGTTTAACTTCTGGAGGTGATCTTTGTAACTCAGGCCTTCCATCTCATTTATTAATTTTGTGATTACAAACATTCTGGCATTGTAAGCAAGAGATTTTCCTACTTGGTGGAAAGTCTTTTTGTTGCCTGGGTAATCCTTCCCCCTTTTCACTGAGAAGTTGTGAAATTCATGTACTGCTTCAGTCAAATGGGTAGGTTTTGTGACTACAGTGACCGTTACCAGGGGAACAATTAAGAATAGGCAAATGCATCCCTGGCCATTGTTCTATGGAGAGATCTGCCCTGTGTTTGGCAAGTGAGAGTGGCAATCTGACAATGTATATGTGAATGGAAACTGAGCACTGTATTTTCTTTGTACGTTTTTCACTGCTGTACACAAGTGTGTGGGAAATGCATCACATGTTTACATTCTATTTCCATTTTATAATTTGCGATAAAGGTCCTGCTGATGGTGAATATAAATATTTTCTTGCCTTCATCTTTAGAAATAAGCCTACAATGGATTTCCCTCATATTGAGGTTGTGCGAAACAAGGAGGAGAGGAGAAAACTGCTTGGCCACACTTGTAAGGAATGTGAGCTGGTAGGTAGCAGATCACTGCCTAGGGGAGGCTGTGTGAATTGTTGGTTTATTCAGGTCCTTTATTGGTGAACAGGCTCCTAATTCCAGGCTATAGATATTACTGAATAGCAAAAATCATCTTCCATACTATATGCAGTGGAACCACAAGTCATTCACACATAGAACTGTTACCGCATACTCTTCAGATTCACCACAGCCCTGGCAAAGAACCACAAGGAACGCAGACATGTAAACTGGTATTATGTTTATTAAATACAATACAATATTATATCGAGCGCTAAATGCCCAATGCCCAGTTTTTTTTAAGCTACAGCTAAATGCCAAATCAGATTTAGAAAAATACAAATTATTTTTTGCTAAAACAAATGTATTTGTAATCCAAATCCTAAATATATGAATTTGGCTCCATATTGCACTCCATTTAATTGACGGACTCAAATTCACAAACAGTTGGGTTATACTGCTGCCTACAGGAGGTTGTGACACTGGCAACAGAAAAGGTTTACGCCAGCCCCCTTATAACCTCTCCTCTACCCAGCATGTCTCTGTTTTTTGCCAGTGTCCTAGAAAGTTGGATGACTTTTCTTCAGCTCTTTTAAAACAAAAGTATAACTGTTTTTGTTGCTAGCCTTCTTTTCCTCCTGGAGTTTTTTTCCTGTCTTCTGTCAAGATTTCTCTCTATAGAGCTACTTGAGCTGGTCATTGTTTCCTCAGCATTACTGTTTGTTCGCAATAGAGTGCTTTCCGGGTTCAGAGCCTCATCTGAGACTCCTGAGAGTGAGGCAAACATTTACCCTTTGAGAAGGGATTCGTAAACTGGTGGTTTGTGCCCACTGTAGATGCAGCAGGGATCCATGTTAACATGCCTATCGCTCACCTTTTGGGACTTCGCTGACAGTTCAATTCTCTTCTTAGATCCCAATTTGGCTTAACTGGTTTGGCCCTCTGTTCTGTGTTGGTGGTAACTTTGATATTTTACACCATGTCAGAATGGGTGGAATCCCTTAAGGAGGATCCCCCCACCACAGACATGGGCCCCCATTTTAACAAGCAGCTGTGGAAAATGTCTGGTCCCTCGTGCTTTAGTTGTGGCGGTTTGTCACAAGCCTCAAAACGTGTCTCACATGGGACTGTTGTCTGTACAAGGCGTATGGCGCTCTGGCTGTGTGTGGGATGCTGGGGAGGCATCCAAGTAGCATCTTTTTTGTTCAAGGTACGAAGTGTCTTTGCCAGAGCTCGCTATAGCTGTAGCTCGCTATATACTGAGCTTTGGGTCACGGGGGGAGGTTAGTATATGTCCTCCCGTGACCCTTAAGAGAACTATGGGAAAAAACACTTACCCCATAGTTCTCTTAACTACTAAAACCACTCCAAGTAAACATGACACACATGTCTCACTGGGCTCTTGGAACTGCAGAGATGCTTTTGGCACCACTCTATCTATTTTTAATCAGGGTCTCTAGAGTTATATGGGTCTTTTTAGGCCCAGGCGCACTTTGGAAAATCCTATGCCATTTGGCTCTATCTAGTGGCTGTACAGCGCAGCAAATCTTACACACTTTGCTGTGGGAACAGTTTATAAATGAGCCCCTTTGTGATAACTAGGGATGCACCGATACTAGTATCGGTGCCGATGCCAAGTATTTGAGCGAGTATTCGTACTAGCCCAAATGCTCCGATACCTAGCCCGATACTTCCTGTACCAGGAAGCCGGGCAGCGTGAGAGAGCATGGAGCCGGCTTCCTGGCCAATCAGGAAGCCGGGCAGCGTGTAATGACTCGCTGCCCGGGTTCCTGATCGGTCGGGAAGCTGGCCAATCAGGAAGCTGGGCGCCATGTAATGACGCGGCGCCCGGCGTTCTGATTGGCCAGGAAGCCGGCTTCATGCTCCCTGATTGGCCGGGAATACAGTGATTACAGTAACACAGGTTTACCTTCAGAGAGGACTGATACAGCCATGCTAAAGTAGGACTATTACACTCACATGTGGCAGTATGGGGTAATTGCTTATGAAGTTGAAAGTGTAGATCTGCCTTATTTCTATGAGAAGATATAATGCTGGAACTGGTTTTGTCTTCCATATAACCAGTATTATGCAGACCTTCCAGAGGAAGAAAAAGCTAAGAAACTGGCCAGCTGCTCCCGGCATCGTTTCCGCTACATCCCACCAAATACTCCAGAAAATTTCTGGGAAGTGGGCTTTCCTTCAACTCAGACCTGTAAAGACAGAGGTGAGATGTTTATTACACAATCTACACTTTGCTTAAGAATATGAATCTGTTATTCATTGCCAAGCTTACCTCTAACAGCTAGCTTGTTTTCCCAACTAAAGCTAAATGAATAACTAAACCTTGCCTTTCTTCCAAAGGTTACATAAAAGAGGAAATGTCTCCCTGCCAGCGACCGCGAAGACGACTTCCATACAATGCCATATTTTCTACCAAAGGCAAAGAGCAGAAGACCTAAAACCACACACATTCACTTATGATTTAGAAGGGAGAGATGAGGATAGAAATACAAGTGCTGCCATTGCTGAATAGTTTAAGGTGCACATCAAGGGGATGACATCTTTATCCTGTCTTTACTTTTAAGTCTCCGGACTTATAACATGAGTACATGCCAGATGTCCCAAAACCTCATTGGTTGCAGGCTTGTTCTAGGATAGTAAGGATATGAAGCATGCTCCTTCAAAAACAAATCAACAGTCACTACTCCTATCCTAACTAGTTCCTTTTTAAATCTGTCCTTCCAAAACAATACTCTGCTCCATTTGTAATTAGTAGCGCTGTAGTTCAATTTGTATTTGCTGCCATTTTAGAGTGGGACCTGTAGGGTCATTTTAGACTCTGTAAGCCTATAGGCTATATGGCTACATATATATATTTGGGTAGCTCTTTAAGCATACAGGAGTCCTGTTGGTATGCTGTGAATTGCCTTGGTCCAGCTTATTCAGTGGGTCATATAATCCGATAAATGTTCACTACTTGTTATGTCTTTACTGCTTTCTGCCTGGTACAGAGGGTTAGGGTAATGGCAAATCACAGTGTATTTTGTCAGAACAAAATATCTGCAGTTATATTTAATATGTATATTTTGACATTTTCTATGTGAACGTTCGTGTTTTAGCACCTTTTATAAATTTTGTAGGGTGCTGTGTTTGCACTGGATAATTTAAATACACACAGCATATGTAATTGGTAATAAAATGTGAATTCTCTTTTCAAACATTTCATTTTCCCTTCTCTTTTTTTCCAGACTTAGAAAGCCTTTTTAGTGTCCATGCACATGGGCATTTGTTTTATCCACTTGATTGAATGATTATCAGGAATAGATAGGGAAGGAAAAAACTGTTATTCTACCATGCATAGCCATGAGTGAAAATGTGAATGACGCTAACAGTTTTCTAAGGATCTGTTATTACCAAATTGAATGCACAGTGGAGGAATAACATTCGAAAATTTAGATTTTCCTCGTATGCAGATATGCTAAAATGAATGATGCGTACAATTTTCTGTGTGTATTGTTTCAATGGACCTAAAGTGTGCCAAAAAAGTTACATGTCCTATTAGAAAAAAAAAAACAAACCACATACATGTAAACTAAAGAACGGGATTTTTGCTTTAAGGCCCCGTTCGCACCAGGATGTTTCATTGCGTGTTTTTTGTTTTTCTGCGCTGAAATGCATGCATGAAATCCCATGTATTCCTATGGGGGCTGTTCACACAAACTCGCTGAATCACGCGTCAAAACGCACCCGGTGTTTGAAATAGTCCCGGAGTTCCTTTTGTGGCACTTATCAGCCCGTTTTGCTTCATAGACTTGAACGGAAACGCACCGATCAGCGTGTTTTTATGTGTACACGTTTTTGCAGCTGAGACTGCTTTTCATTGAACAGCTGAAAACGCTATTGCTTATGAAAATGAAACGCGCATAAAAAACGTGCATACGCAACATGCATAAAGCGTGCTGAAACCCTGTCGCCCTGATGTGAATGGGGTCTCAAAGTATTTTCATGCAGTAACATACATGAAGGGTTAAAAGTTGGGTCAAGCTCTTGGGTTTAGTTTTAGTAAGTGTTAGCGGTTAGAGAAGGGTAAATGTAGGGGTTAGACTAGATTTTTGGCCTTGGAAAATTATGCCCTAAGTGTTGGGTTAAGGTTAGGGGTCAGGTGTGTGTACACAGTCACATTTTTTTGGCTTGTCATCAGTGTTGAAACCCCTGTGCAGAGAACTGGCAATAGATTCTTGGTATTGAAAACAAATGGACAGCAGCAGAGATGGGTCTCATGAAACAATGACCTTAAGGCCTCGTTCCCACCAGATGCAGTGCGTTCTGACCAGAAGGCACTGCCTCACATTGCAGCCGGCTCACTTTCTTGTGGTGGGCCATTGAAGTGAATGGCACCGTAGCCACGCCCTCAGGCCGCACTGGATCGCAAGGCACATTATGCCTGTCCAGTCAGTTGCAAACAGAATAGTATTTGCAGCATTTTGTTTGCACCGGACCGCAGGCATAATGTGCCTTGGGATCCCGTGCAGCCGATCGCATTGCGATGGACCGCCACGCCCCCTCCTGCCTCACAAAAAAGGGAGCCGGCCGCAGTGCAATCTGACCAGAATCGGCCCGGAACGCACTGCATCTGGTGTGAACGAGGCCTAATGCTGTCATCCTTCACAATAATTCACCTGAAACCAGACATTGTAGACCAACTATTTAAATTTAATGGTACCTAACTGGAGTAAGTAGCACAAGCTATAGTTGTCAGTGGTTCCTTGGCTGTTGAAGTTCACATAACAGCTCTAAATGAACTCGTATTAATATAATTACCATTACAATTCTATATAGTTCTCAAAACCATACACATTTCGGACTAACAGTCATTTCTTTAAAATCTTAGCTTGTAAAACAATTAGTTTTTTTGTCCATTTTGACTGCTGTAGTTTAAACTCATGATTGATGTAGGTTAACTTATCCTCTAATAAGGCAATGTACAGTGCCATGCAAAAGTATTCACCCCCTTGGTGTTTGTCCTTTTTAATTGTTTTCCAACCTGGAATTTTGGGGGTTTGTACAATATGATGTATACAACATGTCTACCACTTTGTAGGCGCAAAATATTTAGTGTGACGCAAACAATTACAAAAAATAGAAATCTTGAGTGTGCATAAGTATTCACCCCCTTTGCTATGAAACCCACAGACGTCCCATAATTAGTTGATAAAGGTCTACCTGAGTGCAATAAAGTTGATCTGTCACATGTCACGAATACACCTGTTCTGAAAGGCCCCTGAGTGTGCAACACCACAGCTAAAAATGGGAAAACATGGATCAGGGTTAGGTTATAAAAAAAAATATATATATATATATATATCCCAAACTCTGAACATCTCACGGAGCACCAAAAAATCTATTATAAGAAAATGGGAAGAATATGGCACCACTACAAGAGAAGACTGCCACCAATCAAAGATCGGGCAAGCAGGGCATTAATCAGAGATGCAACAAAAACCCCAAAGATAACACTGAAGGAGCTGCAAAGATTAACAGTGGAGATAGGTGAACCTGTCCATAGGACCACTTTAAGCCATATACTCCACAGAGTGGGATTTTATGAAAGAGTGGCAAGAAAAAAAAGAATACATGTTTGGAGTTCGCCAAACAGCATGAGGCAGACTTCCCAAACACATGGAAGAAGGTTCTTTGGTCAGATGAGACTAAAATTAGGTTTATAGCCATCATGGAAAATGCAATGTGTGGTACAAACACAACATTTCCTATCACCCTGGGAACACCATCCCAACAGTGAAGCATGATGATGGTAGCATCATGCTGTGGGGATGCTTTTCAATGATGGGGCAATGGATGGCACTAAATAAAGGGCCATTCTTAAACACAACTTATTTCAGTGTGCCACAGATTTGATATTGGGGACATGTTCACTATCCAGCAGCACAATGACCTTAAACATACTGCTAAAGCAATAGGAATGGCCTAGTGAAAGCCCAGACCTCAATCCAATTGAGAATGTGTGGCATGACTTACAGACAGCTGTACACCAACGCAACCCATCTAACTTGAAGAAGCTGGAGCAGTTTTGCCTTGAAGAATGGGCAGAAATCACAGTGGTTACATTTGCTAAGCTAACAGACATACTCCAACAGACTTGCAGCTGTAATTGCAGCAAACATTGGCTCCGTAAAGTATTGAGTGGTGGCCATGCTGTTTATATTAAATGGTACAACCTCCCCAATAATACATTTCAATTCCATGTTGTAATGCAATAAAACAGGAAAAACGCCAAGGGGGTCAATACATTCATGAGGCACTGTATATATAATTCATCAGTAGTCCCATTGCAGCTTATAATGGTGCATTGTTAAATGCCATAAACAAGTATGGCACCAGATAAACATGAATGCAATGTGAACGGGATCAGGCAATGGTTTTGTTAATCAGAAGATAAACACATTACTTAAATTCTGCAAATGAGAGAGAGAGAGAAACCTTCCTAAAATGGACCAGAAGGCAACAGGGTTGCCCATTATATATGCTGCTTAGTTATGTCTGTGGGTATGTGGAAGACAGATTTACAGTTTAGCAGACAAGCTAGTTGCACCCAATACAATTATTTCTTCTCCATTGCACAGTTGTAAAGTAAACCGGATGTCCAGCAGAGGGAGGCAAAGATCCGTCAACCCAAAAATCATACTTTCACCGCAGTTCTATGCCCACAAGGTCACAGTCTGAACTGTTTTTGCATGAATACATTGTTTATTAAAATATCTTCAGTGAGGTAATATTTTCCACTGCACTCACAAGGTAAAATACTAAAATTAAAGCCAGGTGACAATCTAAATTGCTCCCTTCTCCTATGAATGATAACCTGCTGGGGGGAAAAAAACAGCCTTTTTTCCTTAGCCATGTCATTAGCTGGCAATTGAACTCTCTGCAACAAAAAAATATATGATTTCTTTGTGTGTAAAGTAAGCAACATTGCAATGTCCAGCACATCAGCGAAATGATACACATTTTCTTTGGGTTTTCTAGAGCGGCCAAAAACACAAAGGTTACTGTGCTTCAGCAATGGCAACACGGAGAGCATTTTATAAACTTGTTAAATCTTCTGTGTAAGAACCATGGGGGCTGCCAATCCTGACCTCCGAAACATAGTTGTTGACGGTCTGTTATTCTGATTCACCTTAAATACTTGAGTCAATGTCCTGGAACAAAATGCAGAGTAAACCCAGTAGTCCTTAAAGAACATTGTACTCACACTTTGACGTTCTTGTGCGTTGTGTTTATTCTTTTTAAATGGGCTACAAATGCAAAAGAACAAACCAAAAAACAGACATGCAATATTTTTTGCAACTCTATGCAACACAACGCATGGTAGTTCATTACGGTCTGCTGCCATGCATGTGCATCAGAGCTGCGATGCTTAAAGGAGAACTATGAGATTAGTGATTTCCACTCACTTCATAGTTCTAGCTGACCTGTGACAATGAGACTGTCACAGGTCGGCTCAGTAGATCGGGAGGTGAGCGAACACATACCATGTTCGCTCACCTCTCGATCCTGTCACGGCTCTC